GAGGCGGAGGTTTGGGTTTACCCGGCTGCGGATTGCATTTATTATGCGCCCGCAGCGGGGTGAAGGAGGGAGTAATACTAGGAGTATTCTCCCGAGTGGCTTTCTTGCCGGTATTGCCTCTGGTAAGGTTTGGGCCGAGGGAGGTTTTCTCGGCGGTTTTGCTTACCGAGGACACCCCGTCCGATGTGCGGGGCTTTGGAGAGACGTTTTCCGTGGAAGCGTCCGCACTTGCTCTGGGAGAGCGTGGCTTACGACGCTTCTTACGGCTTCTAACCGTATGAAATGTGCCCGAGGATTCGTCGGAATCAGACGTCCTGAGAAGGTCGTCGTCCGACGGTGCAGAGGGGCAGGAGGGGGACCGCTGAGAAGCGGTCCTCTTTATGGATGTGCTTTTGCATTCCATGTCGGAGGTTGGGGGGACGGACGATGCCTGGGCGGCAGCCATAGTCAAGGTCAAGGCAATGACTCTTTGGTAGTCGCTATCAGGCAACATGCGCCGTATTTCGTCGAATACGTGTTTATTTTTCTTTATTATGTCTGACATATCGGCAATGCAAACCGTTAGATGCAAAAGAGAGAGAGAGGAGTAGTGGTATTTCACTCGCACTTCTCTCCGTCACACCTACCTTGGTAGGTTAGAGGGAGATAGGGCGAGTGTGCAAAAGACCTACCCCGTGCCGGAGCGAGGGGGGAAAACGCGACGCGGAAAAATGCGGCTATCCCTAATGGATATAGCGGCAACCTTCACCCTTGGGACAAGGCCCAAGTGCACTGGGATCGGGTCTTCGGTGTTGCTAAAGCCTGAAGGGCCTTAGCGAGCGCACCGGGATCGCTCAGTTGGCTTAGTTGCCACCGTTAGGTATCCACCAACTCAAAAATTTGAGAGTGAGTCAAGTCCTACTGGTTTAATGTTTTGAAAAAAACAAAATCAGCAGGGCCTGCGCTCGGGGTGTGCAGACGGCACGAGAGTACTCACAGTTTGGGTAGGAGAGAGTCGTGTACGCGCACGGGGGCGCGCAACGAAAGCTGAGAGCGGAATGAATTATCGCTCAAAATGACCCGTCTTACATCTTGTAGTGTGTGTACACACACACTCATCACTCCTCATTATATATAAGCCAATGTAAACGTAATTAAAGATATTATTATTATAATCGCAGTCAGACTATCATTTATACACCCGAACCACCAACACTGCATGGCGACCCTGCCAGTGCTGCCTGTCGGCAGCGCTGAGCAGATGGTTTTTTTTAAATTTATTAATATAATGGAGCAGTCAAAAATAAAAACTATTTTGTGACTATAATCTATATATAAAATATAATAAATAAAGAAGATATAAATATCATATAATTACATTGCAAGTGAAATATACATATATAGACTTAGAACTAAAAGTGAAATAAATTCTTCAAAAAAAATAAAGAACAAAAGGAAGTGAAAAAATAACTGAAATGTGAAAGTAAGAGTTTGTTGCTGACGTTCGAGATGGCTCTGGTAATGAGTTGATGGACAAGCAGGGTGCCGGGAGTCGTAGGTGTCGGAAGTGGATGCAGCCGGGAGCTGTTCGATTACCTATGTTGGTATAACGATGACAACGTATGGACAAGATCACGAAGAACGATGTTGCTATCACTTCAGTCTAACTCACGGTTTAACATATTTTAATTTTTATTTACACCCTAAAATTATGTAAGAACACATAAATTAAAAAGTAGAAAACTTTATATAAGTATAACGAAAATTAAATTTTTGAACTAAATACTCGTAATTAAAATAATTGACACCTTCAGTGTAACATTTTTAATGTAATTTAACAAAAAATTACATAAAGACGATATTATTTAGAAGAATTTATTTTTGATTTATTAGAATAGAATACGTAATTAATTCTTTCAATTTAATATATTCAGTGAATTAAAACTGTTGTTAACGATAAGCTTTTTAATCTTTTAGAATTAATCAATAGTCACATGAAGTTATTTTGAATTTAAAAAGTCCTTGTTATTTTTTTTGCAAAACTTGAAAGTTATTTGTAATATTTAATTTCTCTGTGAATGTTGCACAATTAATTATTTAGTGATTCTTTTAATACATCCAAAAATATATTTAATAATATATTAGATTGCACTGAAAAAAAAACAACCATAGTTGGATTTTGAAGTACATAAAGTACTACGATTCTCTTTGTTTTCATTGAGTTACTGCTTATTTTTTTTTATTAGGTATTAATGAATGACTTTTATGTTTCACAGTTTGAAGTATTCCAGAAAGTCGAGATTATTGCAAAAGGTAACTCTTAGTTATATTCACGACGGTTAAAATATTAATTTTCTTTTCTATAGCTCCTTAACAAAATTTGTAAGAATTAAAATTAAGATATTTTGATCTATATTGGATAGTAAAGGTTTATTGACAATTATTTTT